GATTTCAATTGAAGAATGTCATAAAATTCGACTAGAAATAATTCAAAATTTATATGATTCCATTTCCTGTAGAATCAAATAGTTTTACGAGCTAATCGAAGTCCAATATCTTATTAGTCATTAAATAAATGATTAAGTCTTGTGTTCCAATTATTTCTTTAATCCCTATATATATATATATATATTATATATATATATATATATATATATATATATATATATATATATATATATGTGTGTGTGTGTGTAGAAAATAGATAGAAGATAGATAGATAGATAGATAGATAGATAGATAGATAGGTTTTGCAATTTCCGTTGCATCCAATATAGATCTAAATTCAGGGAGAGAATAGGGAAATTGTCATATCCTAGCCTTCCAAGAGGGAAGATCATGTCTAGCGAAATATTCGACTTTTCCCGACATAAATCCTGTGGGTAATTCGCTACAACTTTACCAGATATACAGCCTCAGTAGACATCATCACATTTTTGCTGGTAATGAATATAATGGAAATGCAGGCAGTAAAGAAGAGTGGGATTTGCTTTAGGTAATGTATTTGATTAACTTAACGCCACTGTGGTCATACAGCAAACGTAACTACGCCCACTTTCACACGGCAAACGAACATGAAGTCAAAATGAATCTATATAAGATTATAAAATGACATTTATAAACACATGCAAGTTGCTTTTACGACTTTTTATTATTTCCAATTTCCTTTCCGGAATAGTCTTCCCAATCGTTGGTAAGTAATTTAGGAAATTTCGAAGTGGCGAAAACATTCGGAATCCTCGGGCAATTAAGTACGTAGAAATTTTGTGTGTGTGAGTGCGTACATAAAATAAAATACACATGTGTATATATATATATATATATATATATATATATATATATATATATATATATATATATATATAAGTCAGCGTTGCGACCGCACGTTTCAAAACAATAACACATTTCTCATAGCATTTTTCGGATTGCATCAATATTTTCGTTGTCCTCTTATTACCGAGAAGTAAAAAAAGAGCAAATCTATTTCCAGACCTGAGGATGTCTGTAGGGAGAGACGAAAGCTTGTAAAATTTAAAAAGACCATATGTAACTGGAATTTATATACAGGGATTATATCATTCATATACAGGTTCGGGTTCGTGTATCTTATTGAAATTGTTTGCGAAGTTGTATTCTTGCCATTTAAACCATTAACCTCTATAATTGTTTTTGTATGAATGATTCATGGAATTATAAATTAAATTGCCCCTATAATCGAAAAATATATATATATATATATATATATATATATATATATATATATATATATAATAGTTATATACATTTATATAGATACATGAATGTATTTGTCAGGGTTTGGTATAATGAGCTCCACAAGAGGATGGACGAAATTTTTAACTGAGTAAATCTTTTTTATCAATTCGAGAAAATAAATGTTGTCCTGAACGGACACTCTTCGAGATTTTTCTTTTATTTTCATTTGAGCAGGTGACGCCAGAACACTATTCTTGGAAATATGTTTTTCTTAATTTTCACCATTGACCTTCTCTGATGGCAGGCGTTCGGTGTCTATGCATATGACATGATCTTACGGACTGGTGATACAATATCACAAACAATGAACCGTAGCAAATACCAGAAAACATCACTTAATGACTTTCAACGGCAGAAATGATTAGAATGTATATTACAAGCATATCCAAAGAAAACAATGATATAATCATGATGTTGAAATTTCGCACAAGTTCAATCAAAAGGTTAAGAAAAAAACACCCAAGAATAGTTTAAAGAGCGTATACTGAACTTGAGAAAACTATTTTCCTGAATAATTATTTTATAAATTTTAACTGACTGTAGTACTGGCTGCTCTGTCAACGTATGCAAGACGTTTCCTTATAGCTAATACTAGTAGCATGGACCGGCGTTGCCCGTGCTTGATTCAAAATTCGTACGACTCATAAAGCAATCGCTATCACTTGACTTAAAATATTTTTGCCCTTCCTTGCCTTTAAAGGAGTACCCTTTGCCGTGCTGATGTTGCTACATGCCTTACTTCTTGCCTATCTCACACTGCCATTTTTTTCTAAGCTCTATACTAAATATTCAATCTGTTATGAAAAATGAACTAAACAAAATGAACACAAAACGATCAGCTTTAAAAAAGCACTCGTAACTGGAAAAACCAAATGAAAAAACAATGTTAACAGCAAATAGTTATTCACACCCAACCCAGTTCTGCGGAATCAGAATCAACGTTGAGTTTAAGCAAGCGAATGAGCCAATGGGAGTAAAGTGCCATGCAGATTTAAATTTTTCCCACTTGTGACGAATGCAGCTACCGATTTTTTTTGCATGCTAGCATGCTACTTAGCATTCGTGTCAGTTCGCTGTTGGCTCTCATTCTGGTCAATAGAATCTTCCTGCCTATTCGTGGCAGCCAGCTATTGGCTCTCACTCTGGCCAGTAGAAAATGGCCGCAAACTACATAAAAACTGCCGTAGACGCATGAAAAAATCGATTATTTCCACTACAGATGGGAGTTGGGAAATGCAAATTCGGTCTTGGGCTTCCCGCTAACGTGGAGCATGTGCATGTAAATTTTGGTGCAAATCCGTCGAAAATTGCGAGCATTCATTACACACACACACACACACACACACACACACACACACACACACACACACACACACACACACACACACATCCTGCCTTTTATAGATAGAGATTACCATTACCATTATGCCTATTCTATATGACACTAGCATATCTGCGCATAAACACGAAGGTTTGGTCCAAACTGAAGAAAAAATGTAATTTTCAAAAATTCTTTGAAAATCCAAATGAATATTCAGTAAAATAACATATATAATCAACGGATATTATCTTGCTCGCCTTGGCCGAAGCACGTAAAAACTTTCAAATGAATACCTGACGGATAAGATCTTGCCGAGAGACAACAATCTTCATGGCAAAAGCTAGACAGATGAAAGACGCAAAGAAAATCGATTAAACATTTCAAAACAATAATAAAAACAACGAAAAAATCTATTCAATTCTCTGAGAAACAAATAACATCAAAAAAATTGCCAACCAAAATAAATTAAGCCAAAAGCATCGACTATGTGATGAAATGTGGAGAAAAGTGAAAAACCACGACAAAATGATACAATCTAACATAAACAGAAGAAATAACCATGTTTCAGAAAACAATTCGCGTCAAATTTCCCCGCTGATCATACTAAGTTGAATCAAATTAAAATAAGGATAACTACATCCAAAACTATTATGGTTATGATTAGAATCAAAAGTTTCCATAATAGCAATAATTCCGAAACAAGCATTTATAAAAACAAGCTGTACAGCCGACCCTAACAATACACTATTGAAACTTGCAGAAATAACTAAAAGTATTTTGTGTATGTGAGTGTGTATATGCAAAGAGAGACATAGGGAGAATGAAATGCTATAAAACTTAGATATAAAATATAGCTACATATATTTCGTAACAGAGCTAGATGAGTGCAATCATATTAATCTTAAGCAATCACACACACACGCACACACACTCACACACTCACACACACAAACACACACATATATATATATATATATATATACATAGATAGATAGATACAGATATAGATATATCATTTAAAAATATATATTCATCGCGACACAAAAATTCACAGGTTTTAATACAACTTAAAATTAAATATTTGCTCCATTCTCAAGCGATGCTGAATAACTTACAAAAATGATTTACTTTTTTAAGCTAAATAGTATTATATAAAGATAATACATATTTTAAATACCAATATTATAAAATTATGCTGTAATATTTGTTGAGCACGATTTTAAAAAATAAATGCTAACAAACTGTGAATTAAATATATGATTGTTCTTTCATATATATATATATATATATATATATATATATATATATATATATATATAATTATTATAAAACGCAGATTGTGTGTGTGTGTGTGTGTGTCTGTTCGTTTATATATTGGATCGGATTTCCTACATTTTTCAACCGATTTCAACAAAACTTCACAGGACTGCGTAAAATTACATTGCGTTGGTTCTGATAGCGCCAAAAATTGAAAAAATACAATTGTTTTTGCATGAAATCAATTTGAAAACACGATTAAGAGGCATCGCGAAAATGAATGAAAGGGGACATCTCATATCGATTCATACTTATAAATCCCAAGTTGTTTATGTGTGTGGGTGTTCGTTTATATATGCGATCGGATTTCCTACATTTTTCAACCGATTTCAACAAAACTTCACTTTTTTTGGCAGGTAGTGTCTCTTATTGTCTTGCACACTTTTTTCTTTATTTTTACATTCAGAGAATGCTTTAAAAATTATATTTACAAGACATTTGTTTATAATAAAATTCTATTCTATCGATAGACTCATAACGATTGAAAACAATGTTTTTGTTTGAGTTTGGGTTTGACCAATTCGTAAAAAAAAAACCAAAACCAAAAAAAATTAATTAAGTCACGCGTGTCCGTCAACCTTAAAAATAATCTTTGTCAATTTTATTTTTCATTCTTTATGATGGTCGATACTTGTTTCTCTCTTACTGTTACATCCCAGGCAACGCCAGGCTCTACTGCTAGTATATATATATATATATATATATATATATATATATATATATATATATATATATATATATATATATACAACGCGAGAGTGATATTGAGAGATACTGAAAGAGAGAAGGAAATTGAAGTAGATTTAAAGAGACATGCGCAAAATATATAGAAATATGAAAATAAATATTGTCATATATTTAGTATCAGAGTGAGTGAGATAGAGAGAAAAAAGATAAACTGTTCGAGAGAGTGAAAAAGATAATGATAGAGAGAGCAAGTCAAAGCGAGTAACTCGGAAAAGTAAAGAGAATGCAGTATGCATAAAACATAGAAATATGAAGATAACATTGTCATATATATTTTTAGACACAGAATCAGAGAAATAGAGGAAAAGATAGATAGATAGATAGATAGATAGACCGAGAAAAATAATCTATCGAAAGAGGAAAATATAGATAGATTAATAGATTCATAGAGAAGAAAGATAGAAAGATAAAATTTAATAGATAGATAGATAGATCAAGTGAGAGTCGAAAATTTGAGAGAATGTAGTATATCTAAATATATATAGAAATATGAAAATAAATATTGCAATATATGTTTATTAACATGTTTATAGACAGAAAGTGGAAAAGATAGATAGATAGATAGATAGATAGATCAAGTGAAAGTCGAAAATTTCAGAGAAGGTAGTATAACTAAATATATATAGAAATATGAAAATAAATATTGACATATATGTTTATTAACAGAATGTGTCAGACGGAAAGTGGAAAAGATAGATAGATAGATAGATAGATAGATAGATAGATAGATAGATAGATAGATAGATCAATGAAAGAAAAATCAGAGAAGGTAGAACTAAAATATATATAAAATTGAAAATAAATATTGACATATATGTTTATTAACGGAAAGAAAATAGATAGATAGATAGATAGATAGATAGATAGATAGATAGATAGATAGATAGATAGATCGAAAGAGAACAAAATTGACAGATCGGAAGAGAAAGATTTAGATAGATAGATAGATAGATAGATAGATAGATAGATAGATAGATAGATAGATAGATAGCGAGCGAAAGGGAGGAACAGAAAGATAATACGGGTAGAGTGAATTTGAATGAAATTATAATATATTCTGAGATAAAACTTTTGAAAATTGATTGCGAATAAATTGAAGAAAATTGTATTTCTATCAAGTAAAGACCTCCAGTAAGCTTAAAGATAATGGTATACTGTGAAGAATATCATCATTTCAAAATACAGCAGGAGAAGTAAACGTGTGAGAAAATGTCCGTTTAAGTCAGTACTTTGAATCGTATTAAATACCGTTGGAAAGAAAAATCGATATAATGCGATTCATGGTCAGAGAATAAATGTTGGAAGCGAGCCTAAACCAGTTCCAGGTCGATGGATACTTGTGCGAATCACGTGAACCCTGTACTATGCCTCCTCTTTACACAGCACAATCGCTTGTGGTGCGATAAATTGTGGAAGTTGTTGTGGCTGTAGTTTCAGTGGTTGTCGAAGTTGTGACAGCATTGCTGGTATAGATTGGGTTTGTGAGTTTGGTGTCATCAATATTAATAGCTGGAAATTGACAGAAGGTTCTTGTTCAGATGTACTCGTAAGTGTGAATAGAAGGAAAGAGCAAGATCATTTAGAGAAGAAAGAGAAACATGAGAGTCATTTGAAGAAATAAATGAGGGGAAAGTGTGAAATAAAAGAGAGAAATGGTTTTCAAGTTTAGGAAGGAAAGTAAAAAAAAAAAACAAAAAAAACAAGAAATTGAGATTAGAAATATTTCGCCGGAATGGAGAATATTTTGAAAAAATATTTTGAAAAAATCGATGAAATTTTATTGAAGTGAATGAAAAAAAAGAATAAGGAATTAAAGAAAGGGGGAGAAGAAGGATTTCAAATAGAATAAAAATGTAATGAAAAAGAATGCTCGTATATACACTTGTATAAATCGATTTCATGTATAGTGAGAAACCTGAATTTCTTTTTATTAATGTTAACCCTTCCAGTTAAATTTACATGTTTATAGTGTAACCGGTCACGGAAAATGTATATGTATGTATGTATGTATGTATGTATGTATATGTATTTATGCATGTACGTATGCATGACCATGAGGCCCGGGTTCGAATCTCACCACGGTTGATTTGTCAGAAAGTAAACATCCTGATATTATCGGTCTGGAGAGAGTGATGCCAGCTTCCGACATCTTTGGAATGTGCCTGAAAGCACTACCACGGGTTGAGCTAAGCCTTGTGTGTGAAATTGGGTAGACGGAACCCATGGGGGCCGTCGATAGCTGTGCTAGAACAAAGTCACAAGTCCTCGTGGCCGAGGGCTTGAGCGTGTTGGCTTTGTTCAGTTTGTTGATTACGCTAGAAAACACGCCCTCTCCCAGAAACGGTAACTAAGGTCTGCTCAGCCTAGCAGGTCAACTTTAATGCCTCAAAAACACAACTGCTTTCTATTAATCACCAGAGATAATTCCCTGCCCTCCATTAGAATGTGTGACGCTCAACTTCTCGAGAGCAACTCTCTGCTTCTGCTCGGTCGCACATTGACTGCTGACCTGAGATGAAACAAATACATTGAGTCAATTGCTTCGACCACCGCAAGAAACGTTGGCTCCCTGTGCCACGCCCGGAAATTTTCTCCCCGGAATCGATCCTCCAGATCAACAAATCAACAATTCACCCTTGCATGGAGTATTGCTGCCATATATGGTCTGGAGCCCCTTCTGTTTGCCTCGGGGTCCTTGATGGGCTCCAGAGGTGGATATGCAATATAATTGGCCCTGTTCTGACATCTCGTCCACAGTCACTTTCTCACAGACGTGCCGTCGCCTCTCTCTGTCTGTTTTACAAATACTTTCATGGCAATTGCTCCGAGGAGATGCATTCGCTGGTTCCCAGACTTCATGAGTTCAAGCGTTCTACGAGGCCGGCATCCCGCTCTCACACTTTCACTGTCGAAACTCCTTAATGTAGCCGTCGCTTCTACTCCAACAGCTTCATGTCTCGCACCTCTCACCTGTGGAACTTCCTTCCCTACTCCAGTTTCCCTGAGAGCTATAATCTCCAACTATTCAAATGTAATGTCAATCGACATCTCCAGTTGCCTTGATCTATCCACTATCATTCTCCTCATCCTTTCCTCTATCACTCCTATCTGATCTTGCTCCACATCTTCTGTAAGCCCTAGCGTCCTAGTGACTTCTCGCCTTACTTGGGGTGAAACGCTTAAAAACAAATGTGCTTTTCAAAATGTCCTCCGTTTTCAAAACATTTCAGTTTTGTGCATGCAGGATTCATTAACACGTCGGACTGTTTTCTTTGTCATTTTACTGCATTCATTTTTAATTCTTTCTTTAGGTTTTTCAATATTTCTTGGGCCCGTCTTATAAACAACTGATTTCAAATGGCTCCATTGGAGAAAAATCCAAATGCCAGAGGCCTAGTGACATCGGTGTCCACTGAACAGTAATTCTTCAACTTAGCCATTAACTTCTATGGCGAGAGACTTTTGTCTCGCAGTGTATATTTACTTCGAGTCAGCAAATACAATTTTGGGAATTTTACAAATGGAGTCTAACATATTGACTCTAAGTAATACGCAACACACTTCTATTTCACTGTATTCTCGTAAAGTATAACAATTTAATTGAAGATAGAGTGAGCAAAAGAATTATGTAATAAAACCTAAAGCGAAATACGTGGGCTGCTTAGAAGCCCAGGTGTCAAAACCAAAAGCTGAAACTAATGAGGTCGGAAGGAAGTCAAACGGCTTTGGAGAAAAAAGAAGGAAGTATAAGTCAATAGACGTGTTTACGATTATTCCGTTACTGTAAATAAAAACATTGTTTACATTATTCGGACTATTGTTCTATTCTTTGTCGCCATGTTTGTTACAACGCCAGTTATTAGTTATCTCCCGTTAATTTCCCATCTCCAAGTTCTGTACTGCCTTAACCGGGTACTGAACTCACACTCGTTTGGATCCTGTCACAGGATCTGACCAACGTTTTTATCCACTGTGTCATGTGTCCTTGAGGACATCTGTGAATAATAACAAAAATTGCAATATGAGCACTGGTAAAAAAGATTGCTGAAACATCAGGTATATAATACCCAGAAATTCATACAGAGATATCCTCAAGGACACTTGCCACAGTCGATAAATGCGTTGGTTAGATCCAATGACAGGACCCAAAATAGTGTGAGTTCAATACCATGTTAATGGAAGCAGTGGAGAACTCGCAGAATTAACAGGAGATAACTGATAACTGACATCCATTAAAAATGGCACGTGGAGCTATAACAGTCTACCCGAGTGAGCGAAATAAAAGGTTCAGTTCGACATTCCAAACACCTGAAGAAGATCGGAGAGCACAACGGCCAAAACGTTGTAATAAATATGGCGACAAAGATAAGGACAATAGTCCGAATAATGTAAACAATGTACATAATACCTCATCTCAGAAATATAGACAGATACTGAAGAGCCGAAACGTTGTTATAAATGTAGCGACAGCGATAAGGACAATAGTCCGAATAATGTAAATAGTGTACATAATACCTCATCTCAGAAATATAGACAGATACTAAAGAGCCGAAACGTTGTTATAAATATGGCGACAAAGATAAGGACACTACTCCGAATAATGTAAATAGTGCACATAATACCTCATCTCAGAAATATAGACAGATGCTAAAGAAAAACGTTTTCATTTCATTCAAATGTAAATTGTCTAGTTTTATTTTTTAAACTGATATTTACTTAAATATAGGGATATTGTTTACCGTGCAAAATACTGTTTAGTTACTACTTGCTCGTTTTTACTGAGTTCATGTAAACACAGCCTGACCCAAAGCGATTGAACGAGTATATCACCAAATTCACAACCCAACACTTATATCAATAAGGTCATTGATAATTCAGGCAAAAGAAGAGAGAAAGTTTTAACTTGATGGTATAAAATATAGGAGATCAGAAACATAATACAGATTTCGCTAGTCGTAGTTTCGCAGAATTTCGCATGTTGCTACAAAGCCAAAACATTAAACAATGTTATGTTCTTAAATAACCTTTTTCAGATAAGTAGTTTCAGAGGGCTGTCATGCACACCGTCACACACGTCCAGAAACAGCAACTGTCAGTTTAGAGAGGCAGATCGATGGTCAGCATGCTTCTTCGAAACTCGTGGACCGGCACTAGAGTATCACAAAGAAGAAAATGTAGCAAATAAAAGCTACATCTTTACTTGAGTTCTTTAGAAAACATTACTCGCTAAAATGAATATAACATGTAACACAATGAAAAAATATTGAACTAAGCAAAACGTTGACACACTATGGTTGTAGTAGAATAATTCTTCAAATCATATAACAGCAAAATTCTACAATTGTTTGTTTGGACCGTTGTATCTTAGAAATGATTAAATATATCTTATTGGAATTCTCCAAAGTTTTTATAACCCTATCGGATAAACGATAAAAATGTATTTAGCTTTATGTTTAAATGATGATCTCTTTTTTCTGCTGTGGACTCCTGATCCATTCTTTTTCTTTATTTTTTTTTACTATTCCGTCTTTTTCATAAACTTATTCACCGTTCTCTTGATGGCTCTTAAATGGAATCTTAAGGTGGAAGTCAGAGTTTGAATGTTAATAACATTGCCGATTCCCTAAATGAGCTTTATCATCTTACCAGAGCATATTTTAGAAGATAGTGTAGCTGACATAAAATGATTTTAACCTGTTCACTCTCTAGCTATATAGCTCAAACGGTTCTTAGAAATTTTTACAAGAAATGGTGCCAAACCTTGAAAAAAGAAACTCAAAAGGTTTAGTGTATTTTTTTAGATATTAAACATTTTGTGGGATGGACATTTTGCTTATACACACGTTACTTCAAAATATACTTGAAAGATTAAAACAATAAACTAATTTAAGTAACGTATTTCCATGAAAAAATATTTTAAGATAAAGATTTGATAAATTTCAACCGAAGTAGTAGTGACTACTCAGTAAATGAAAGTGGAATATTTCCTAATGCCGAAACGGCCATTATTACCATTTATCATCTGTCAGATGTCAAGAACGTGTAGCAGATTACGAATATAGACTATCACATTTTTTTTCGTTTTTGCTTGAAACGTTCCAAGAAAATTTAATATTCAACTCGAAATGAAACACTTCTAATTATCCAGTGACAGTCATGGCATTATCATCACAAACAATGACACTAAAGTAATATATACTTCTTTCCTCTGGAAAGTTACTCATGAATTTTCACCTTACACTCAAGGGACATCATCTCCAGAGACAATATTGCTTATGAACGCTGTCAATATTGATAAGGCACAAAGCAGGATGGAAAAAAAAGAATTGCTTTTAGAAGGGTTAGAGAAGACAACAGGAATAAAGATCCAGCTTTTCATTCTAAACTGATTATATGCATGTTATCTGCATGTTATATACAAGTTATCTACTGATTATCTACAGAGAACGGGTTCTTACCAT